TTCAATAATTCTTAAAACAGTTGTATAAGAACATTATTCTCAGTGTTTCAGTTACATAACAAATATCACTAATATTGATCAGTTTTTACTAGAAAAAGAAAGGGGGGAATAATGCTGCTAGGCATTTCCTCAAACATCAATTAATATACCTGGCATACTTTGTCCATATAAATCATTTTGATGTGAATGCTTAAGTAAACTCAAAAGCTTTTTCTTTTCAGATCTACATGTGTGCATGAGTGGTTTATGAAATAAACATTATTAACCACTTGGAAGTTATCCTACTCTTATTGTCATATGTAACAACATTCTCCATTTAACCATTAGGAGGAGAGATGATGATGATGATGATAATGATGATTGATGTAATGGACAGCATATTGTTTGGCAAAGAGAAATTATACAAATCAGATATCACAAAATCTGTGATGAAACCTTTAACAGCAACTTCTGAATGCCAGGGTGTTGCTAAAGCATGGGCACAGGATCAGCTTCAAATGAATGTAAGTTTTTGCAAATAACAATTTGACATTCCAGCTTCAAAAACAGCAGGAAAGGCATGATATACTGACATCTGGTCACTAATCTCCCACAGAGCAGCACCCTTCCCAAGCATGTCTGGTCATCAAGACAGTCCAACACAGACACACGACTTCCAGCAGCTCCCCACACACTCACAACACCACCCCATGTTCTCTGCATTCCCTGTCACCACTTTCCCTCTCTCCTCTCAGACCCTAGCATAATCCAGATTGTTTGGGCATTTTTGCAGCAATGTATTACAGAGTATGAGCTCCTGGAAGCAGAAACCCAGTATCTAAAACATGCCTAAAACTTCCAGTATGAAAAGGCATGGGGAAAGCCTTTCCTCAGAGGGCAATCTTAGGCAGAAGCCTCTGAGTAGCTGGAAATTCTATGCAAAACTGCATAATACAGAATAATATACATAAATACTTTCTGAAAACAAATTCATTACACAGAAGTGAAGAATATTTTTCTACCATAATCCATTACTGGAAAGCTTTCACATAGGAAAAACTAAATCTAAAAAATCCATACTTAATCAAAGACTATTCAGTGTCTTTTATGCCTATTTTTATCAGAGTCCTCACAATAATTGAATGAGGACAGGGTCTGAATGTGTACTAAGGGGCAAAACCAACTCAGGAACAAGTACCACTTCAAAGTCAAAGGGAAAAAACATCTCTTTTTTATTATGGAAAATTTTTGAAAATATTTTTGTATAGAAAGCAAGCATGGGTATTTAACGCAATAGTTTCTCAGAGACCATTCATTTGGAATATGACTGCAAGCAATATATTTTTGTGTTTACTGTTTTAAAAAAAGAAATAGATGAAGACAATTTCAAAAAACTACATTCATTGGGGACTCTGAGAGGCAAATCAGAATGTTGCTTCAGGGTCCATGATTCAAGTCAAAGTATCTTTTTATTTTCTGTATGAGGAGCAAATACAGGAAATCTACAGACAATGCTCAACTGAACTACAAATCTTCCAAGCTCCTGGCAAGTCTCTGTTACTGAAACAGAAAGTTCTATTCAAGGTTGTTGTGTATTTTGAGATACCAGAAGAATTACTGAAAATGTGTTAGTTTTATTACTATTACAGCTTCCCCTCTCCTTTCAACCTTGAGTTTTGTATTTAGTCAATTCTCAAACAGGACTGGTACTCCATATTTTAGTTAAAGTCTTTAAGCCACTTTTGACTAAATATTTATTGACTTGTGCTTACATGTATAAAGCAGGACTAAAATAGGTAAAGTACATCCCCGGGATCTACCAGAGGAACTTAAACTATTATATAACAGCCCAACCCATTAAAATATCTTGAGCAGTTTACCAGGTTACATTCCAAAGGCCTACCTGACTCAAATTATCACTGCCTGCTGGAAAAAGGACAATGGAATGGGGAATTCCAGAGAATGGGAGCAACCATCAAGAAGGCACTCTCACATTCCCAACCAGATGTGTCCCTGTGGCTACAGGACAGAGAGAACAGCCTTTTCAAAAGAAAGAAACCTAGGCAGCTTGTAAAGGAGAATGTATGTAAGAATCTGAGCAGGAGAGCTTTGTGGGAAATGATCCATCCTTTTAAAAAGTCTTGTCATTTATTCTATTTCTAGACCAGAGACTTAAATTATGCACATGAATTCTGTTCTCACTACAAAAAAGAGAATGGCTTACGCAAAGGCTAGATGCTAAATTATTCCCATTCTAATAAGACAAAATTATTATATCATTAACATGCACATGCATGCCTGTGTACTAAAAAAAAAAAGGCCTCTCGAATCATCATTCTTCTACAGGATGGTAACGCAGAAGAACTTTAGAATCATTACTTTACAGTTAGATTATATATTTTGTATGTTATATATTTTATAATCATCTTTTCCTCTGCTTATTCTAGTTTCAGTATTTTATCTATCAACCAATAACTGGAACAAATGCTACTGAAAGAAAGCAATGCAGAAGTTAGGTATGAGATACATAAAACGAACATTACTAATGCTTTCAAAAGCAGGCAGAAATATTGTCATTCACTGATATAGATAAGACTAGTTTATCTTTTCTACTCAAAATGTGTCTATATAAAAAACCAAAGTTTAATATTCATTATTATCTATCATTAATAAATTCAGCTGATGCATCCGTTGCTGAACTCTAGCACTTAGTAATGTGACTGGAAGGGAAAAGGTATGTTCTATGTAATTCTATGTTCCAGTATAAATCTAGACTAAGGAAAGGGATATTAACTGAAAAGCAGCTAACCTTCTGCTACAAAACTTATATCAACTCAGTTCAATACTTGGACTGGGTGCAAAGATGATCCTTAAAGTTGCAGTGCTAAAGGCAAGAAATTGTAGCACATACTATGTAAACAAAGTTCCATCTGGTCAAACTGGAGAGAAAGATTCTACATGCATTTAACAAACTTGGACTATGCAGCTTTGATCAGAACTGAAAGCACAATTAAGTTGTTGAAAACAAGGAATGTACATTGTTCTTCAGACTTTTACATTTCAGCCATCTCTGTATTTTACCTTAAAAGATTAAGTAAATAAATCTTCATTGCTTATTACTGAGAAGACAGAATTCTTCCTTCCTTATGAATTTCCTATCTTTGAATGCCACCACAGTTCTGCTGTTTCACTCCTACTGTGCTAGAAATATAATTTTCAGATAGCCCAGAGGCATTGTAGCACACTCTGTGCTGCCATGAGCAAGACCAATATTTGAGAGCTAACTTAGGACTCCTGCTGCCTGAGCTGGTAGAGAGCAAGCATCTGGGAGAAGTGATGAGCTTGTTCTCCTGGGGGTAGGGTGCCAGCTGCACTACTCTGAGAGAGAGATAGTGTGGAATTAATAGTGGCCTCATAGGGAAGCTGTACATTTTGCCTTTCAGTGTGAACAACCATGCATTAATGGAAACCAGAATGGTGGAATGAGACTTCAGAACTGACAAAGAGGAAGAGAAAAACATATAGTTCAGGCAAAACAAATATTTTCTTTCTCACAACAATTGGGCTTATGGTAGGTTAAAGACACGCTATGTAAAGCTTATTTATTATTTATAACAGGAAATTTCTACATAAAGGCCTGTTTCAAGAACTCTTCACAGGGAAGGATAGAACATACAATTTAGAGGTGGGAAATAGGAAACACTTATATGTAAAGTATATAGTGAAACAAGTCAATTCACTTGAATGATGAGGATGGACTTTAAATGTATATTGAATAACCTCCATAAGGTGTTGGTGTTCCTTGATCAAGTGACACGGAGCACGAACACAACTTTTGAAGAGAGGAACAAAGTGCTGAATTCTGCAGATATAACACCCTTCTCCACACGTTTTGCTACCCACTTCTCAGGCAGGAAAGCAGGAAAAGGGGGTCATTCTGAGGTGGACTTCATTAAAGGGTACAAGCAGTGGCCTCAAGAAGTAAAAATCCCTATTGTTCTTCTGCCCAGCATATTCTGTCTATGAGCAAAAGGTGGCTATAAATAACTGACTTAAATTACAGCAAGCCACCTCCTTAAATAAGAATAAGCATGTTCTGCTCAACAGGATTTACTATTGTGTAACCCTGTATAGTAGATCTTAGGGCCAAATTAGTTCAGACCAATGAAGTTAGGTGCTGCATGTCAACAGTGAGAGACTGCATCCCAGAGAAGTAGGGTCACAGCATTCAGAAAAGATTAGTCCTTCCAATCTCAGTAGCAATTCCATCCCAGAATTTTTAAAGCCTTAAAGCCTGTTAACAATCAACAGAGACTTTTTAAAAGTATAATTGCTTTAAATGGGGGGTGGACAAGGGTGGAAAGCAACATTGAACATATCCCATTTTTGATCCACAAATCAAAATTAAGAGGATTTCAAACAGGGCAGCAGAGCCAAGGAATATAAAGCACAGCTGGGAAAGAACCCAGTAACCTAAAAGGGAAACCTTTGCAGGATGGAGGTTCCATAGTTGATATGAAACTGTGTACTGCTGCTTGCTTAGCTGGAGTTCACTAACAGTCACCGAAAAATCTGTGGCATTTTTAAGTCATCATGAAAATAAAGCATGGGAAAACCTACTTGCAATGTACTTTATATGTTTTCAAAGCAGGATTCCTAACATTTTACCCCATGAGGTTTAATGCCTATGCCACATTTATTTCACTTATTATTATACACCACTTTTTTCTTCTTGCAGGTAACCCAAGTTAGTTCATATGGACTCCCTCCTCTCCATTTTATCATCACAACAACCCTGTGGAGCAGGTTAGTCTAGTTTAGTGAGTGGGTCAAAGTCACTCAATGAGCCTCACAGCTCAGTGGGAACTAGAACCTGGGTCTCCTAAATCCTAGTCCAACACTCATAACTGTTGTACCATATAAGATGTGATACTGCTGTCTTGCTCTTGACATATATGATCGTGATAGAAAATCAGTGATCAACAAATGCACATCATCATAAATACAGAAACTAAGATTACATCATGCATCACCTAGAAGGACTTCTTCCATTGGCAGGAGGTTGAAGAACCCCAAAGAAGTTCCTTGCTGGAGGACAGAGGAAGGGTGGTGTTTTTCACCTTTGCTATGAAGCCACCAGCACCAGCACCACACTCTTCTGGAAGATCTTCCACCTTCAACGCAGAATTTATAGGAGCATACAGGGCTGCAGAGGGAAGTAAGATCAGAGAAAGTTGCCTTTTACTTTTCAACTCCACTTTGAGTTTCACTCTGTGCAATGCTAAATTCAACCAAATACTTTGACTGTTTAATATAGGATCTAAAAGCAATTCTTTATTTACAAAGGATCAAAAACATAGTGTAAAAATCTTTGTAAAAGATCTTGATGTACAGAAAGTCAACATACTGCATTTTCAGGAGGATTATTTGCAGAACAATAGCATGCTTCAGACAAATAGCACATGAAAAGTTCTGTAGATATATTAGAGAAAGCAAGTAAAAGATAATATAAAAACAACAGTAATGCCACCCACTCCAATGCAGGTTTACTCCGAAATAAATCCCACTAAGTTCAAAGGCACATACTTCTAGGTAAAGACACGTATTATTACGGCTTTAATAATTTATTCTGCTTTCTGTACCACAGCACTATTGAAAAATTGGTTCTTTACTTTTTCAGTATATATAACATCTTCTGAATGCAAACTCTGCAGTTATTTGAAATGCAAATTTGAAAATGTTCCCATACTTCAGTTTTGGAACACTTTGGATATATTAATCAGATACTATTTCTGTTTCCATTTCAAACACATCAGTTACAATTTTGCTTGCATTTTTCCTAGACTATAGTGTTTTCTTTGATTTTGTTTTATTTAAGAACAAAGCAATTTCGTCTTCTTTGGAAATGTAGCTATTACAGCCATTTTTAGTTGATTCTGAAATTGCAAATTACAACATTAATTGTAATTTGTACAAATAAACTCATTGTCTCAACAGAGGTATAGAACTTGCTCAGGATTGATGGCTGCAAGGAGGAAAAAGAAACCATCAATAGTGACTCTCACAACATGGCACCTATTCCTAAGAAAGTTGTACCTACATTAAAGTCAGTCTATTATTTCGTTTCATAGCAGATTAAGTTGCTCAAACTATCAGAAATGCAAGAAGCATCAGAGACTGAGCAGAGAGGGATGAAACTTGTGAATGTGGTATGCAGCCTTCCCACATCTGTGGAGGGTAGCTAGAGCATCAAGGATCTAATAATCAGGCAGCCTGACTTCCTAGATAGCTTTAGTGAGAGTGGCAGGAATCTTGGGCCCAGCATAGAAAAAACCAACTGTATTGGCCCACCCTAGATCTGTTAACCAGTGGCTACTCTCTTTCCATAGCAAGGAAACAAGCTGTAAAACTAGGGAAGGCAGGTGGATAATTTGGTAAAGACTAGGGTTCAGATTAAACCTTTCAGAACCTGTCCCTCTACCATCTGCAGATTTCTTCTCATGACTGCCCCACTTCTGCAAACGAACCAAACCAAAAGGAAATCCATGAATGCTTGCGGACTGACACCACAGTTACACAACTGGCAACCTTCCCTATCAAGTGCAGTCATCCAAAAGAGCAGCTACTGGACATGGAAGGGAAGTGCTGTAAGTGGGTGCACCAGGTGTCATTCCTGGCAACCTACCTTCTTCCCCACCCAGTGCAGCCAGGGGCAGCAACTCTGGCCACAGAAGAGAGGGACAGCAAGTGGTCATATCAGGCACCATTCCCAGCAGTGAAACTTCTTTCCTGCCCATTGCTGCTGCTGACAGTGGGCATGGAAGAGGGACACTATGAGAAGGTATGCCAGGTACCTTTCCCAGCAAAAGCAGGTTGCTTACCTGTAACTGATGTTCTTCGACTGGCCATCTGTGCATTCACACATATGGGTTGCTGCGCCTGTGCAGTGCCTAGGCCGGAAGATTAGAAAGATAATGGTTTTTGGCGGGAAAACTCCGCTCCCCTCCCCCTTCGTGGTATAAATAGAGCAGAGTGTCCGCCATTTTACTCAGTCTTGAAGACCGCACGTTCGCCCTCTAGAGGTTAAGAATAAAAGTAATGAGAAAACGCAATTATATCTGAATGGTACCGATGTGAATTATAGTACGGTACCGAGAACAATATCTCGTCAGCGATATAACCCAACAGTACCAATGCAAATTATATTTCGGTACCGAAAACAATAACCACCCAGCGACATAACCCAAACGGTACCGATGCAATTTATAGTATGGTACCGAGAAAAACGAGATCCACTCACCGACACCGAGTGGGGCCGGCGGGTGGGTTGTGTGAATGCACAGATGGCCACTCGAAGAACATCAGTTACAAGTAAGCAACCTGCTTTTCTTCGTCGTGGCCTCTGTGCATCACACATATGGGTGATTCGCAAGCTTACCACAGTCGGAGGAGGGAGGTGTCGTTAGCGAAGAACGGATGAGAGAACAGCTCTACCAAAAGAGCAGTCTTGTCTGGCACGTACAACAAGCCGATAGTGCTTGGCGAAAGTCCATGGACCAGCCCAGGTCGCAGCTCTGCAGATGTCTTGCACCAAAACCCCCGCGGCAAAAGCGGACGAGGTCGCTACTGCTCGTGTAGAGTGGCCACTAGGAAAGACAGGTAAGTCTATTTTCGATAGCTGATAAGCCAGGACAATAGTCTGGACGATCCAATTAGAGAGTCTCTGAGATGATATCGGTGATCCCTTTTTCACACTCGGAGTATTTAACAAAAAGTCTATTAGTAATACGAAAAGATTCAGTGCGGGATCTGTAAAAGGCCAAGCAACGGCAAACATCAAGTGTGTGTAGAGCACGTTCTATCGGGGTCAACGGCGATGGAAAGAATGCCGGCAGAACGATGTCCTGATTCAGGTGGAACAGTGTGGCCACCTTGGGTAAAAAGGAGAAATCCATCCGAAGGATGACTTTTTCCATATGGAAGTTCAGAAATGGTGGGTCTATGTGGAGAGCACAAATTTTGCTAGCTCTCCGTGCTGATGTAACTGCTACGAGAAAGGCAGTTTTCCATGACACCAGGCGTAAGTCCACAGTTGCTAAAGGCTCAAACGGTGGTTTGGTAAGCGCTTGGAGCACTACGGAAAGACTCCACGTTGGCACGGCAGGGCGAATAGACGGATTTTGTAGTCCCTTAATGAAACGCCGAACCAGCAGTTGAGAGAAGACTGATAATCCGTGGATAGTGCCACGATAATGGGATATAGCGGCTGCATAAACTTTGATGGATGATGGTTTAAGTCCCTCATGAAGCAAATGCAAGAGAAATTGTAAAATATTGGTGACTGAAGCCATTCCAGGGGAAAAGGAATGGCACTCTGCAAAAGAGGAGAATCTTCTCCATTTAGCCGTATAGGAACGATGAGTGGATGGTCTCAATGCAGATTTGAGAATCGCCTGAATTTCTCTGTCTGTAGGCATCGGTACCGTGGCAGTTGCTGTCGAATCCGAAGTAGGGGCCGCATATACCGTCTGTTGAGTAAGGTCACCCGTAGGGTGAGGTGTCCCCGGTATCGACTCAGTGGCGTGAATCAGGTGATCCGCCATGCCGTCAGCTTCAGAGAGAGTATATCCGGATGACGGATTGCTCCTCCTTGTTGTGTTAACACATGCGGAAGAGTTGGTAGATGAAGGAACGTTCTTCTGGACAGCAGCAAAGGAGTGGCAAACCATGGTTGTCTCGGCCACCACGGAGTCACTAGTATCCCCGTGGCATTGTCCTGGGCTATTTTCGCAACCACTCTTGTCAGGAGTGGGATCGGGGGAAACGCATAAAAAGTCATGTTGCTCCAAGGGACCATAAGAGCGTCCCCCATTGATCCCGGCCCGACGCCCACTCTGGAACAGTATAGGGTACACAGGCTGTTCTCTCAAATGGTGAACAAGTCCACGTCCGGATAACCCCACAAGTGGAAGAGTTTCTCGCAAATTTGTTTGTCCAACTCCCATTTGTGGATTGTTGACATCTGTCTGCTTAATGTATCTGCTTCGACGTTGTCGGTTCCAGCCAGATGAACTGCCATAAGCACGATGTTCCTCGATAGGCGTGCTAAAGCTGGGGATTTTGTGCCCCCCTGCTTGTTGATGTAGAAAACTGCCACTATGTTCTCTGATGCAATTTGGACAACTTGACGGCATAACACAGACTCGAAAGCCTTGAGGACGTTGAAAATCGCCAGAAGTTCCAGAAAGTTGGTGTTTCCTCGCCTCTCGTCGGTTCCAAGTACCTTGGACCCGAAGTCCCGAACATGCCGCACCCCATCCAAGGAGGGATGTGTCGGTGTACAGAGTTGTCGCTGGCCGAGGTGGTCGAAATGGGGCGCCGATTGACAGGTTGTCTGTGATGGTCCACCGCGTTAAAGTGTGAAGGATTGCAGATGGAATCCGAATCGGCTTGGTGGCAGATCTTGTTGCGGTTGAAAAGCAGCATTGAAAAACGGTTTTATGGGTTGCATACGTAGTCTGGCACACGGGACAATGGCAATTGCAGCAGCCATATGCCCCAGTAGTCTCTGAACGGATAAGGCTGGGACCGTTCCGTGTAGCCGAATCCGATGAATATGGCTGCATAAGGCATTCTGACGTTCCGGTGGGAGGAAGGCTTTTTCCTGCATCGAATCGAGTCGTGCCCCGATGAAATCGATGACCTGCGTGGGAATAAGGGACGATTTGTTGCAGTTAATGCAGAGACCGAGAGCATCGAGAAAAGCGCAGGTCATTTGTATATCAGACAGGAGAGCTTGCTCAGATTGCGAGACGATTAGCCAATCGTCTAAGTATGGGTATATCTGTATTCCCCATGTCCTCAAGTGTGCGCATACTGGCGCCATACACTTCGTAAAGACTCGAGGGGCTGTGGCCAAGCCAAAAGGTAGGACATTAAACTCGAACAGATCGGATCCGACAGTAAAATGTAGAAAGCGTCTGTGTGAAGGATGGATGGAAATATGAAAATAAGCATCCTTTAAATCCAGTGTGGTGAACCAATCCTCTCTTTTCAATAACGGAAGGATATTTTGCAAAATGGTCATCCGGAATTTCCTTGGTTTAATGTATTTATTAAGAGTTCGTAAGTCCAGGATCGGACGAAGACCACCGTCCCTTTTCGGGACCGTAAAATATCTGGAATAGAATCCATGCAATCCTTCCG